AGCCTGGGGTTGCGGAGTCTGGGGGTGCTGCGTCTGGGGGTGCTGAGTCTGGGGGTGCTGAGTCTGGAGGTGCTGAGCCTGGGAGTACTACACCTGGAGGAGCTCTCTCCTCACAGCAGCTGCGTGAGTGGTACTTACAGTACTGCAGCCTCAGGAGAGGTGCCTCTGGAGCTAGGAGTGCTGCTGGAGCTGGTGCTAGTGCTTCCCCTCCTAGGCGGGAGCTGCCCTCTCCCCAGCGACTCCGAGAGTGGTACGCGCGGCGCTGCAGTCTCCGGAGTGGCGCTCCTAGTGTCGCGGACCCTGGTGCTGGAGGTGCTACTGCTGCTGGCGGTGCTGCTGGTGCTCCTGGAGGTGCTGCTGGTGCTGGTGCTACTGACGCTGCTGGAGGTACTGCTGGTACTGGTGGTACTGCTGGTGCTGCTGGAGCTGCTAGAGGTACTCCTACTACTGGAGCTGCTGCTGGTGCTGGGGACCCGGGTGTTGGAGCTGCTGCTGGTGCTGCGGACCCGGGTGTTGGAGCTGCTGCTGGTGCTGCGGACCCTGGAGTTGGAGCTGCTGCTGGTGCTGCCGACCCTGGAGTTGGAGCTGCTGCTGGAGCTGAGGACCCTGGAGTTGGAGCTGCTGCTGGTGCTGCGGACCCGGGAGCTGGTGCTGCTGGTGTAGCTGGAGACCCTGGAGCTGAGGGTACTGGTGGTGCCTCTGCTGGTTCTGGAGGCGCTGCGCGGCCGCGGCCGTACTTCGTTCCGCTCCTTCAGCAGGTTCTTGGTCAGCCTCCTCCTCCTTGTCCTCCTCCCTCCTTAGAGTGTCCTCCGTCTGTCCAGTCGCAGTCACAGTTACCGTCTGACTCCCCTCTCCCTGGTCCTTCTCCTTACACTGGTCCGACTGGAGGTCTTACGGAGCGTCGTGAGCCTGAGTCTCGTCCTGCGTCGCCTGAGTCTCGTCGAGCGTCGCCTGTTCGTGCTGCTCACACTGGTCGTCGTGTCCCGCGTCAGCGTCCTCCTGCTGTCCCAGGCACTCACCAGATGGCGCTTCGTCCTTCCACTGCTCCCCAGCGTGTCCCTCTCCCGTCTCCTCCTGCGTCCTCTCTTCCTGCTCTTGCTGACCCTGAGTCTGACTCCCTTCGTGCTGCCAGTCCTACTGTCACGCGTCTCCTGGCTACTGTTGTCACTGACCCTTCCTTTGAGTCCACTGCTGCGTCTGCCTTAGTTGCCGAGCTTGTCGACTTTGCTGCCACTTGTCGTCTAGACTACGCCGCTAGCCTAGTCGCTGAGTCTGAGTCTGTCTGTCCTCCGTCCGTCGGGGGTGAGTGTGCTCTTGGCACGGACGTCCTTGAGGACAGGCAGGAGGAGTTTGAGTGCTTTGCCGCTGCGTTACCTCATCTCGTGTCCATGCTGGTTGCCCCTGAGGGAGACCCGGATGCTCCAGACATCCCGACCCCGCGCTCTTACGCTGAGGCGATCGCGGGTAAGTACTCCTCTCAGTGGCAGACAGCCATGGACGCAGAGATGGCTTCTTGGAAGTCCACAGGCACCTACGTCGACGAGGTTCCCCCACCTGGGGCGAACATCGTCAGTGGCATGTGGATTTTCAGGGTGAAGCGGCCGCCGGGTTCTCCGCCTGTCTTCAAGGCGCGTTACGTTGCACGAGGCTTCAGTCAGCGAGAGGGAGTTGACTTCTTCCAGACCTTCTCCCCGACCCCGAAGATGACCACTCTTCGGCTTCTGCTGCACGTCGCCGCTCAGCGTGACTACGAGCTCCACTCTCTTGACTTCAGCACAGCTTTCTTGCAGGGCAGCCTGCACGAGGAGATCTGGCTACGCCGCCCACCTGGCTTCACTGGGTCGTTCCCTCCTGGTACCCAGTGGAGCCTCTGACGGCCAGTCTACGGTCTCCGCCAGGCGCCGCGTGAGTGGCACGACACACTGAGGACTACACTTGCGGCTCTTGGGTTCGCTCCTTCTACTGCTGACCCGTCGCTGTTTCTACGCACCGACACTTCACTGCCGCCGTTCTACATCCTCGTGTACGTCGACGACTTGGTCTTTGCCACTGCTGACACTACGGCACTCGCCCACGTGAAGTCGGAGCTGCAGAAGAGACACACGTGCACAGACCTGGGTGAACTGACAAGCTATCTTGGCTTGCGGATCACCCGGGACAGAGCACGGCGCACCATCTCCTTGACTCAGTCACACATGGTGCAGCAGGTCCTTCAGCGCTTCCGCTTCACGTACTCCTCGCCTCAGCCCACTCCTCTGCCTACCGGTCACTCGCTCTCAGCTCTGCCTTCGGATGAGTCCGTAGAGCCGAGTGGCCCGTATCCAGAGCTTGTGGGCTGCCTCATGTACCTGATGACCTGCACTCGACCTGACCTTGCATACCCTCTTAGCATCCTTGCACGCTATGTCGCTCCTGGTCGTCACCGGAAGGAGCACATGGATGCCGCTAAGAGGGTGTTGCGTTACTTGTGCAGTACGTCGGGCATGGGGCTAGTGCTTGGAGGACGAGACCGAGTTGTACTCACTGGGCACTCAGACGCTTCTTAGGCTGACGACCAGGCTACTCAGCGGTCGTCTCAGGGTTACACCTTCAGCCTTGGCTCTGGTTCTGTTTCTTGGCGTTCTACACACTCGTCTTCCGTTCTCAGCTCCAGTTGTGAGGCTGAGATCTACGCCACAGCCATGGCTGCACAGGAGTTACGCTGGCTCACCTACCTGCTGACTGACTTGGGAGAGCGGCCTCGTTCTCCTCCAGTGCTGTACGTCGACAACAAGGCTACCATTGCCTTGTGTGAGGAGCACAGACTGGAGCACAGAACGAAGCATATCGCTCTACGGTACTTCCTTGCTCGAGAGCTGCAGCAGCGTGGTCAGCTTCGTCTGCGTTACGTGGCCACTCGGGCCAACACTGCTGATGTGTTCACCAAGGCGCTTCAGCCTTGTGACCATCAGCGCTTCTGTACTGTTCTAGGCCTTGTGCCTACTGTGCCTCACTTGCTTACTTCTTGACTCTGTTTGTACTGTGATCTCTATATATATACCTGCATACTTACACTTGCTAGGTTGTGCTCACTGTACCCCTTGCTATATTATTAAACTGCATGTGAACTGGTCTTGTGACCACTTGCTTGTGCTCGGAATTTGTGTGGTTTCCTCGAGATCCACCCTGAGCTTGCTTTGCCCTTCCTGACTGGTCTTGTGACCACTACTTGCTCTGGCTATCCCCCATTTCGCCTATGGGGGTGTGTCAAAACATATGCATAATTGTATCTAGGCTATATTGGGGCTAGCCTTAGGGGGTACACAAATAGTCTCGACACTCTAGTCTTGTACCCCAATCTTCACCTAATCATCAACTTTCTCGTTCCCTAGCTAGTGATTCTAACATGTTTGCTTTGCTAGGTCGAGATCACTGTATTGTTTGTGTTGCTTATATGCCTCTGCATGTGAACTGGCCTTGTGGCCCTTTGCCTGTGCTCAGAGTGTGTGGTGACGTTGTGATCCACCCTGAGCTTGCTTTGTCTTTCTTGACTGGTCCTGTGACCCCTTGCTCTCCCCCACTTAGCCTATGGGGGTGTGTCAAAGATCATATATGATACTGCTGTGTAGGCTACAGTGGGTTAGCCTTTATGGGGTACATTTCTCTAGGGTATCATACTTATACTCCCACTTGTTTCTATTTCAACACTTCTTGTTTCTGACAAAAAAATAAAACCCGATTGAAACGGGATGCGACTCGGGAGGCGTCAACCCTAAAAATAATGCCTTTCCCGTGTTTAGGGTTGCCCACCCACCCATGCATCCAGGTTCGTTAGGGGTTTTATTTTTATTTTTCTGCCAGTGAAATATATGTGCTTGATTCTCTTACCACCGAAATTTCCGTACTTTAAATTAACATTTTCATGTGAGGAGCGTAAACTAGATGGTTCTGTTTTTGTCACTTCCTAAAAAGTGCGACCAGCGTAAGAAATGTGACTGAAAAGCGACGACCAATCAACGTTGAGGAAGTCCAGATTGATTACACCTGAGAACACGCTCGGGACTAATCTGAGTATGTATGATATTGGCCGGTGATGTTTGCTTGTTGCCTCTCGAGTCCGTCATGTTTGGCTTACCTTTTTCCGAGGCACGGCTGCTGAGCTGTAGGCCTGGTTGAGGTTTGGAAGTACCAGGAAATCTTCAGCCGGTTACGGAGATCCACGCTTGCGCAAAATGATTGGTCGAACTTACGGATCAGCCTCGTTGGGATGTGAATCGGATTAGTTGGAATTTCAGGTGGTAACTGGACAATTGAATGTTACTTAATATGATGAATCAATTAGTGAGTAAATGGTGCGTTGTAAAATGTTTGTTAATTAGTGGCAAAGCTATTATGTATGTCTGCATATTGCAATTCTTCGTCGATTTTAACATATAGTTTATTTTGTGCACTTAAATCACCCTCTTGCAGCACTTAATACTGTAAGAATTAGAATTTTTACGAGTTGTAGTACACTGTTATGCTTGCCTCAAGACTTGTTGGAGCTACCTTACAGATTGAGTACCGAACCATAGAGGTGGATCGTAGCCGTATTGTTCCTATCAGTCAGGCCACGCTGCATACCTGAGAGCCAATCGAAAGGGATCGCCCAGACAACATGCCACCTTGGCACCAATAAAGTGGGCGAAACTGCGGATGAGCAGTACGAAGTGTACAGGTATAAACCTTTAAAGTAACACTAAACCTTAAAAAATGTACACTAAACTTTTCAGGTATTATCGAAAATATATCTGTAGAGGCACTTCCGTTACAAGAACATTGTTAGGTATCTTCACGTAGAAAACTTTCCAGAGCTTTTTAGCAGGCTCGGCAGCCACTCAATCGCCCAACCGAAAACCAATTGCGGGCTAGATGTCACTAGCATAGAAAACCAATCGCCGACACCAGGCAAATGCCTGGAGCCGAAAACCACTCGCCAGCTAGTGGTTTCCCAACAGTGGGCGGGACCCCCATAATTCCCGATGTTTCTTACGCGGTCCGAAGTGAGTGGTGGTGTGCTGACGTGGACGAGGATGCTGAAAATGTTTGGCAAGTCAAACAAGGCCAAGCAAGCGGACGCAGAGAGAGGCGAGCCATCCTTGGTCGCCTACTCCTCCGCTTCCCCCCCGGCGCCGCTGCTGTGCCAGCAGGTGGCCATGGCGGACGTTCTGCGTGCGACAGGCGGATGGGAGGCGGAGAGGCGCATCGGCAACGACGGGTTTGGCTACACGTATCGCGGCGTGAGCCCATTCGATGGCACCACGCTCTGGGCTGTCAAGCGCGCCAGAGAGAATTTGGGCACCAACGACTTCCAACGACAGGTGTGGTTGGTGGGTGGGTGGGGGTGAACGTAGGGGCGGAATGACGAGAGACGTGCCCCCCTTTCTCCCCCCCCCCATCCTCCCTGCCTCATTCCGTTCGTTTGGCATCAGATCAACGAGATGGCATCGAAGTACCACCCGCACCTGGTGCGGCTGCTGGGGTTCTGCGTGGACTATGACGCGGAGGCGAAGCGAATGGAGCAGATCGCCATCTACGAGTTCATGCCCAACGGGGACCTGCACCACCGCTTGCATGGCGACGATGGCACAGGTGGGCATGTACGCAGGCGTCTCACAGATGAGCATGCACGGACTCTTGGCCGTCTCTCTGGTGTGTGAGCAATAGCGAGGAGGAAGCTGTGCTGCAACACGGGGTATGGGACCGACAGCGAGGAGGTGGGCTAGACGAGCAACAAGGCGAGTAATTTACTCTCCTCGATCCTTCTCTACTCGTTGAACACCAGCAAGAGGAGGTGGGGGACTCTTTCATCTTGTTGTAGACACAGTATTAGCCCTTTTGTGCATGTTTCCATTCCTGGCCATGATCAATGACTTCTCTGGCTTTTTTGTTTTCTTTCTTTCTTTCCTTTCTTTTTCTTAGGTGGCCCAAGTTCTCTAACAAAATAGCAGCCGTAATCAATAAATAAATAAATAAGCAATAGCGACCGTAAAGTATGGACCGTATTTTACGACAAGCGTTTTCTTAAACCTTGGGAAGCATATCCCTCTCTGACTAAGCCCATGTCGCCGCAAGTGCACGTGCCAGCTCCTCCAAATGTGTAGGTGCTTGCTTGCCTGTTCTTCTTCGCCCTTTCCTCGTGTACTCTCTGCGTTTGCCTCTGCTAGGTCCGCTAGCCTAGCATCCGTCCATCGCATGTATTTCATTCCATCACATTGATCCATGATGATAATCTACCTTACAGCGTATTCGTTGTCCTTGCAGGTTGCACCAGCGTGCCTTTGACCCTGCAGCAGCGGCTGGACATTCTTATAGGAGTGGCGCGCGGGCTGGAGTATCTGCACAGCTTTGGCATCGTGCATCGCGACATCAAGCCTTTGAGCATATTTCTGGATGGCAGCATGCAGGTGAGTGACTGTGCTGTGAGGGAGCATACACAATCGCGCTGCAGAGTCGTTTCGTGTGGAGCAACATCCACATACGATTGGGTTGACCTCTTATACCCGTGCTGTAAAGAACATCCCCTCTTTCCCCCCTTCCCGGCCGCCCATGTGAGGCTCCGCCCGGCACCACACTTTCCAAACACAACACCACGCCAGGCGAAGATTGCAGGGTTTGACCATGTGAAGGGTGCAGGTGACGGGGGCGACGTGTTCGGCGTGCCTGGGTACTTGGACCCGCATGTATGGCAAACTAAGGGATACGCGCCCACTACCGTTAATGACCTCTACAGGTGCCAATCTGCTTTCTCAAATCATTCCATTCCCCTGAATGTACCCAGCCCATTCGCTCAACTTAGCTGGTAAATATGTGTTTCGCGTATTTTATGAGACCATATTCTTGTCAGCGTATAACGGAATACGCGGAATCATGGGTGTCATATACGCACAGAATACTCAGGTCGAGGCAGGCTAAACACTTTATTGGGAGAGGAAAGAAATGAGTGGGGAGGGGTGGGGTGCAAAGCACCAACAACCACTTCTCCCCCCCCCCTCGTCTACTCCATGTGCCCACAGTCTAGTTATACTCGCCGTTAACAGCTAGGTCGTCGCTAACAGCTAGGTCGTCGCTAACAGCTAGGTCGTCGCTAACAGCTAGGTCGTCGCTAACAGCTAGGTCGTCGCTAACAGCTAGGTCGTCGCTAACAGCTAGGTCGTCCGCGGGCCAAGAACCTCAACGTTAGGAAGGTTGGTTGGGGGGTATTTCACATTGAAGCGGAGTTTAACTGAAGTGCCACTATTCATTTTTTCCGCTCAGCCTGAAAAACAAATGCAAGTGCAATTGTTTTTCTCACAAACAATCCGCCCTCCCCCTCAATCCACCCAATCCCTTTAATCCCCCCATTCTGCCTCCAGGCCACTGCCTCCCACAGCAGCATGCACCCCCACAACACCATGCCCCACCATGCTCCCCACAACACCATGCCCCCCACAGCACCATCTGGTTACCGCCCCTAGTGCCTCCTCTCCTGCCCACGTTGTTCCCAACTCCAGTTCAGGGGCACTCTGAACGGATGCTTCTACAGTGAAGGCTGGTTGTCATTTTCCAGTGCCATACTCCGCTATCAATACTCGTTCCTTCTCCATCCCTCCCTTCTCCCCTGTGTCCCACTCCCCTCCTCCCTCTTCGTCCCGTTCCTCCCCTCTTTCCCGCCCATCCCCTGCCCGTCGCCACCAGTCTGGGAGTGGTGCTGCTGGAGCTGCTGTCAGGCCGCCGTGCCGTCACTCCAGGGAAGACCGAGCGACAGTATCTCAGAGACAGTGTGAGTGCGAGTGGAGCATGGGGGGGAATGCAAGTGTTGCGTTCTGAGAGGCATGCCAGCAGCACAGTACATCCATCACTGGCAGCGTTTCAAGTGTAATTCTAGTCTGGAGACTTCTCAGAATCCTCCTTCCATTCACCACAGTGGTAAAGCAGCAGGAGACTCAGCCACCCACTGATGTGGCCGACAGGAGATTCCCGGACTCCTATCTTTCCTTATCGCAACTGGGAACTGTTTTCTTTTTGTTTTACTGCCTGCCTTTGCCTCCTCCCATCCCTCATGCTTCTCCCACCATGCTCCTCCCCCCATATTCCCCCTCCATGCCTCTCTTCCAACCTGTTTCCCAGCATTCACCCCACTTCTCTGGATCAAAGTGCATGTCTAAATTCAGCATCTGACTCCCCCCCTCTGCCCTTCGCCCTGCACCAGGTTGAATCGCAGCTTGAAGCCAACGACTTGGCTGCTCTATTTGATCCCTCCCTCACCTCCTCCTTCCTCCCACCCGCCACCAATACCAGCATTAGTATCCCTAGCAGCACCACCACCAGCAGCTTCAGCACGCTCTCTGGTGCCGCCAGCACCACCAAGGCAGGCACAGCAGCTGCCAGCGCTGCCGATACTACACTGGGCGTTCCCATACCGAATGTTCTTATACCCAGTTTGGTGCGGCTGGCTCGTGTCGGGCTCGCATGCACAGCCATGCCGGCCTCCACCCGGCCCTCCGTGGGAAAACTTCTTGCTGAGCTGAAGATTGTGCGGGATGACGTGGCAACAGCACTGAGGCAGAAGGAGGAAGAGGTGGATAAGCAAGAAGGGGAACTGCAGGGAGGGAGGGTTGCCGTGGCGGTCATTAGGGGAAATGAGCTTTTGGACTCGTTGGGCAATCCTTCCCATGCTGACCCTTCCTCCACATCTCCTAATCCTTCCACTCTTCCGTCGCAGCTTCCTCCTCCTCCTCCTGCTGTGCTCGCCTCCTCCTCCTCTGCCCTCCCCCCGGCGCCGCTGCTGTGCCAGCAGGTGGCCATGGCGGACGTGCTGCGTGCCACGGCCGGGTGGGCGGCGGAGAGGCGCATCGGCAGCGGCGGGTACGGCGTCGTGTATCGCGGCGTGAGCCCCTTGGATGGGTGCACGCTCTGGGCTGTGAAGCGCGCCCAAGTGCTCACCAATGACTTCCGCCGTGAGGTGTGTTTGCTGCAAGCCGAGTCAAAAGTCAATGGCTGCACGCTTTGGGCTGTGGAACACGCTAAAGTGCTCACGCCGTGAGGTGTGTTTGCTGCGGAGTGCACTGCAGGCACCGTGGAGTGCACTGCAGGCACCGTGGAGTGCACTGCAGGCACCGTGGAGTGCACTGCAGGCACCGTGGAGTGCACTGCAGGCACCGTGGAGTGCACTGCAGGCACCGTGGAGTGCACTGCAGGCACCGTGGAGTGCACTGCAGGCACCGTGGAGTGCACTGCAGGCACCGTGGAGTGCACTGCAGGCACCGTGGAGTGCACTGCAGGCACCGTGGAGTGCACTGCAGGCACCGTGGAGTGCACTGCAGGCACCGTGGAGTGCACTGCAGGCACCGTGGAGTGCAATGCAGGCACCGTGGAGTGCACTGCAGGCACCGTGGAGTGCACTGCGGAGTGCACGCTCTGGGCTGTGAAGCGCGCCAACGACTTTCGACGCGAGTTCATGGGGTTGGTGGGGGATGAGGATGAGAGTAGGGGATGGTGGGCTTGATGTTAATGGGACGAGGGCAGAATAATGAGAGATGTAGTGCCCAGCAGCAATGACTCCATAGGCCAACCCCTCCATAGAGAGGCCAAAATGTCCCTGCCCCAGGTGGGAGCCAAAACCAATTTCGGGAATAATCGAAACAAAATGCAAGAGTCCCCCCCTGCCTATTCTACCTATTATATCACTCCCTCCCTGCCTCAGATCGACGAGATGGCATCGAAGCACCACCCTCACCTGGTGCGGCTGCTGGGCTATTGCGTGGACTATGACGCGGCGGCAGAGCGCATGGAGCAGATCGCCATCTACGAGTTCATGCCCAACGGAGACCTGCACCACCGCTTGCATGGCGATGAGAACAAAGGTGGGCTGGGCACCACTGCATGCATGGCGACGATGCCACAGGTGGGCACCACTGCATGCATGGCGACGATGCCACAGGTGGGCACCACTGCATGCATGGCGACGATGCCACAGGTGGGCACCACTGCATGCATGGCGACGATGCCACAGGTGGGCACCACTGCATGCATGGCGACGATGCCACAGGTGGGCACCACTGCATGCATGGCGACGATGCCACAGGTGGGCACCACTGCATGCATGGCGACGATGCCACAGGTGGGCACCACTGCATGCATGGCGACGATGCCACAGGTGGGCACCACTGCATGCATGGCGACGATGCCACAGGTGGGCACCACTGCATGCATGGCGACGATGCCACAGGTGGGCACCACTGCATGCATGGCGACGATGCCACAGGTGGGCACCACTGCATGCATGGCGACGATGCCACAGGTGGGCACCACTGCATGCATGGCGACGATGCCACAGGTGGGCACCACTGCATGCATGGCGACGATGCCACAGGTGGGCACCACTGCATGCATGGCGACGATGCCACAGGTGGGCACCACTGCATGCATGGCGACGATGCCACAGGTGGGCACCACTGCATGCATGGCGACGATGCCACAGGTGGGCACCACTGCATGCATGGCGACGATGCCACAGGTGGGCACCACTGCATGCATGGCGATGGTGCCACAGGTGGGCACCACTGCATGCATGGCGACGATGCCACAGGTGGGCACCACTGCATGCATGGCGACGATGCCACAGGTGGGCACCACTGCATGCATGGCGATGGTGCCACAGGTGGGCACCACTGCATGCATGGCGACGATGCCACAGGTGGGCACCACTGCATGCATGGCGATGGTGCCACAGGTGGGCACCACTGCATGCATGGCGATGGTGCCACAGGTGGGCACCACCGCATGCATGGCGATGGTGCCACAGGTGGGCACCACCACTGCTTGCATGGCGATGAGACAGGTGGGCACACACGAGCTTGTCACTGGTGTAGTATCAGCAGCGTGTAGGGAGCGATGGGGGATGTGGGAGCGAGAACAGGAGGGGGCAGGGAAGGGAAGTCAAGCGTTTGGGAGGAAGAGAGGCAAGGCTGAAGGCCGGTTGTGTGGAGTTGTGTGGAGTTCTTTACATGAAGGAAGGGCAAGTTTGCCGGCACCTCCTCTTGCTGCTCTTGCTCCTCTCAATACAAGCCTTGTCTATTTTTTCTTCCAATCCCTTGCCTTTTCTTCTCTCTTTTGTGTTGTTCAGCAGCTGATTTCACCCCCCTGACCCTGCAGCAGCGGCTGGACATTCTGATAGGAGTGGCGCGTGCGCTGGAGTATCTGCACAGCTTTGGCATCGTGCATCGCGACGTCAAGCCCGCTAACATCCTGCTGGACGCCCACATGCAGGCAAGTGCATGCAGGCGAGTGCATGCAGGCAAGTGCATGCAGGCAAGTGCATGCAGGCAAGTGCATGCAGGCAAGTGCATGCAGGCAAGTGCATGCAGGCAAGTGCATGCAGGCGAGTGCATGCAGGCGAGTGCATGCAGGCGAGTGCATGCAGGCGAGTGCATGCAGGCAAGTGCATGCAGGCAAGTGCATGCAGGCAAGTGCATGCAGGCAAGTGCATGCAGGCAAGTGCATGCAGGCAAGTGCATGCAGGCGAGTGCATGCAGGCAAGTGCATGCAGGCGAGTGCATGCAGGCGAGTGCATGCAGGCGAGTGCATGCAGGCGAGTGCATGCAGGCAAGTGCATGCAGGCGAGTGCATGCAGGCGAGTGCATGCAGGCAAGTGCATGCAGGCAAGTGCATGCAGGCAAGTGCATGCAGGCAAGTGCATGCAGGCAAGTGCATGCAGGCGAGTGCATGCAGGCGAGTGCATGCAGGCGAGTGCATGCAGGCGAGTGCATGCAGGCGAGTGCATGCAGGCAAGTGCATGCAGGCGAGTGCATGCAGGCAAGTGCATGCAGGCAAGTGCATGCAGGCAAGTGCATGCAGGCAAGTGCATGCAGGCGAGTGCATGCAGGCGAGTGCATGCAGGCAAGTGCATGCAGGCGAGTGCATGCAGGCGAGTGCATGCAGGCAAGTGCATGCAGGCGAGTGCATGCAGGCGAGTGCATGCAGGCGAGTGCATGCAGGCGAGTGCATGCAGGCGAGTGCATGCAGGCGAGTGCATGCAGGCGAGTGCATGCAGGCGAGTGCAGGCGAGTGCATGCGAGTGCATGCGCTGATGGGCGAGATGCCAAGCACACAGCTACCTTCTCTCCACAAAACGCCAACATTCTATGGGTTTTGGCAAGCAATGGCTCCATGAGCATCACTCTCTCACTATCTCTCCATGAGCATCACTCTCTCACTATCTCTCCATGAGCATCACTCTCTCACTATCTCTCCATGATCATCACTCTCTCACTATCTCTCCATGAGCATCACTCTCTCACTATCTCTCCATGAGCATCACTCTCTCACTATCTCTCCATGAGCATCACTCTCTCACTATCTCTCCATGATCATCACTCTCTCACTATCTCTAAATTTGAATGACAATGACTCTCGAGACTAGCTCGCCGCCATGGATTTTGTCAACTTCGAGCCGCACATTGTCCGCGTTACACAGCTCTGTACAACCTTCTGATAACATCTTAAGCATCGTCTTTAACTCGGCTATCGGGAGACCTGTCATTTATGCTGACATTGGCTCAACCTGTTACAAGACGATCATCCCAGGGGTTTGTCAGGCATTCTCAAGGCAACGCTATCAATGGCTCCGTTTCTTTGACATTGGTGTTTCAAACTCCCAGAGCGCTAACAACACTATCTGTATTATTGATCGCGCTGCTCCCAAGGTGCTAACCTCGGGGTTTCAACATTACCAGCAGGAGCTACTGGATCCCGACAAGTCACTATCACTATTTAACAATGAAGCGCTCAGACTTCAGGCTCATCATCAGCCTCTGCGGGCCTCAGTTTGTGCTCAGTGCACTTGTTCTCCGCCTGCTCGTCATCATCGCACCATGGCGAACCCGAAGGGCTCCCGCAACAAGCAGACGACGGATCAGCCTGCTCCTACTGACGTTTCTCCTCCTGCTTTGGATAAAGATGACAATGTTGTCGCTGGTTCCACGGAGGCTGTTGGCTCAGTCAGCACTCAGGCTCCTGTAATCAACGACAAAGGCAAGGCAACAATGTCAGAGGCTGGCGGTTCTGGTGTCTCTGACAATGACAAGGCTACCATCCCCTCGGTCGGACTTACGGATGAAGACGGTTTCATCGATGATGACTCTGACGACGAGATGATCATCGATGTGGTTAAGGAGGCTGGTTCTGGTTTGCGCTCCGTCGCTATTTTGCTGATCCCGTTTATGCTGCACAAGGAGATATCCTGTGTGATTGATGCTGTTAAGGCACTGATTAAACACGGATGGTATACAGAACCTTCAGTTGACGCCGCCTTGACGACCAAGTTCCAGGAGCTTCAGTCGTCATACATTGCCAAGACCCGTTATTGTCGCCTGCAAGTATCATTCGCAAAGGATTCAGATGATGAATGGGTGAGAAGGAAGGAGGTTATCTACCAGCCTCTCAAGAACCAAGGCCAACTTATCACTCTTCATTGGCTTCACACGGAAGATCCTGTTTTCGCTCGGGAAAAGGCGATGAACCCGCAAGCCATCGAGTTCATGATCAGGGGAGTTTCCGCGGCGGTTGAGTTGGTTCTGATCCATGATCGCATGGCTGTCTATCTGCTCAAGAGTACTCAGCGCACGGCTTTCCTGCGGTGTACCTGTCTGCATCGAGTGCTTCATCCCGTCACTGGTGCTGATACGGACGTCGTGAAGGGACTGGTCTACGCTCACCCGGAAAACCGCAACCGCCGGTGGATCCACATGATCGCTGATCCTGCTGACCGGGCGAAGAAGCTGCTTGTCCATTATCCGACCTTATCCTGTTCGCTCTGCGGCGGCAAGCATTATGATAAGTATCATGATGCTTTTGTCACTGAGCGTCAGAATAACGTTAGTAAATGGAATCTTACCCTTGGCAAAGTGCACAGGCTTAACGGTAAAAATAGCAGCCAGCCTTTATTCCGCTTTCCGCTTCGCTTCTCATACTTACGTACTAACCTGTCGTCGACTCTCCGCAGCCGCGTCGCTGAAAGCGTCATCGCGATTCTTCGCGACCCAGCCATCGCTCTCGTTTCTACCGGCAGCAGTAGGGAAGACTGGATCTGCACACAATCGGGATGCGGAAAAGCAAAGGGGAAGAGTCTCATGGCGGCTGCAGATCACATCTCCGCAGCTGCTCACCTGCTGGAGCTTGCAAAAGCGGGCTCTGCAACGAAGGAATCGCTCGACAAGCTGCATCTCGATATCATCCGCAAGGAGTATGGCCTCTGAAGATCCCTGAGAGTTACCTGGATGCAGCGGTCTGTTGGTGTTTAGGAGTCAGTGTTGGTTGTACCGTTTTCTCTATCAGCCTGTGGATGATGATCAGGGGCTGCAAGCCAGTGGAACCATGATTACAAAAAACCTCCTCACCGTCTCGAGCCTCAACGTTAACGGACTTAACGATTTCGCCAAACAGAGCCGAGTTAACAGTTGGTTTAGTCAAGCAGGGGATATAGCTGTACTAATTGACACCAGAATAGGACCTGACCAACAGTACTGGAAAAGACTCTCTTCTTACACTGTCTTAGCTACAGCTCCTCGCTCCAGAGCCGGCGGAGTAGCCGTCCTTAGCCGCAATCCATCCATCACCTTCCACGATACAGTAGCACATGCCTCGGGTAGAATCATTCAAACCACAGTCAAGGGACACGGACCCGAACTCACCTTAGTCGCAGCTTACTTCCCCTCGAGTCCGCAGCCTAGAGCAGTCTTCCTCAGGGACTCTCTTGGTCCTCTCATAGATCGCATCCCAGCCGCAGCGCACCTGCTTATCATAGGGTATTTTAACCATGTAGAGAACACCAAACTGGATAAATCATCTGGCAAGGGGGTATCAAACGAGAACGAGAAGCTTTTCCAGCGCTTTAAAACCTTCCAACTCTCAGACGCATTCCGCATACTTCACCCTGGCTGCCGGGAATACACTTTCTACTCTAAGTCCAAGCGGGTCAGCACACGGATAGATCGCGCTTTAGTCTCGCAATCTTTACTGCCTTACCTGTCGGTTGCTGCGCACATCAAGCCTGTCGAGCCAGTGGCAGACCACAGTTGTGCTGTGCTGGTCGCCTTCAGATTGGACGGAACAGCCTGCACAGGTCCAGGTCTATGGCGGCTGCACGCCTCTATGGTTAATCGGCCCGGAGTGAGGAAGATCATCGAAGCTACGGTCCGCCGAACTCCGGTTAACGACGGCAGCAGTTTCGAGCTTTTGGTAGCAAGGCTGAGCGCTGGGCTCAGGGCCTATGCTAAAGAGGAGAGTAAACGGGTGCGGGCGACAATGGCTCACCTGACTAACACAGTTGCAGCTCTGACGCAGGAGATGATGAGAAACCCACACTGTTCGCGGACGCGGGAGTTGCTGAGGTCGAAGGAGGTGCAGCTGAAGATGTATCAGTCGGCACGGAAAGACCGATTGCATTTACAGGCTGGTTCAACGGCGGAGCTGACCGGCGAGATCGCATCCAAGCATCTCTAGGCGCAAATCCAAGCACGGAAAGCACGAACGCAGATTTCGGAGTTGAAGGATGGAGCTGTGTCAATAACCGGGTCGAAGGAGATCTTGGCAGCGGCGTCTGATTTCTTCAGGAACATCTTCAGCAGAGATCGTCGTACTGACCACACTGACTGGAGCTTCACTCCATCCCGCCGTCTGGACAAGTTTGTGGCTGAAACGCTTACGGCGGAATGGTCAGAGCATGAGGTGAAAAAAGCGTTTGCAGCAATGGCGAAGAACAAATCACCGGGCAGTGACGGTCTCCCGAAAGAGTTGTTTGAAGCACATTGGGACCTGTTGGGGGGAAGCTTTATGGCCATGGCGAAGGATTTCGAATAATCTGCGTTACTGCCGGCTGAGATCAAGGAGGCGGTGACGATCCTGCTACACAAAAAGGGAGACAAGGAGCAGTTAAACAACTACCGACCCATCACACTGCTGAATTTTGCGTACAAGGTCCTAGCTCGAGTGGTAGCAGATCGGATGAAGACAGTACTTCACATGGTCATCTCACCTGAACAGTACGGCTTCATACCGGGGAAGCGGCTGTCGGATGCAGTAGCCTTGGTAGCGGATATCATCGAGAGCGCGAAGAACGATAACGATGATCGGTATCTGCTTCTGGTGGACTTCCAGAAAGCCTTTGATTCAGTCTCCAGGGACTTCCTGTTCCAGGTGTTGGAGTCCATGAATTTTCCGGAGCGGTTTGTTGGATGTTTAAAGGCCTGCACGAGGGGACGACAACGAAA